ATCTATTCTTATGTCGCAGTGTGCTGAATAGGCTCTTATGCAATCTCCTTTTATATTCTAGTGATGAGATTTACTGAATATGCTGTGATACAACCTACTTTTCTATTCTAGTGATGAGATTTACTAAATATGCTGTGATGCAACCTAAATTTATATTCTAGTGAAGAGATTTACTGAATATGCTGTGATGCAACCTAAATTTCTATTCTAGTGATGAGATTTACTGAATAGGCTGTGATGCAATCTAAATTTATATTCTAGTGATGAGATTTACTGAATATGCTGTGATGAAACCTAAATTTATATTCTAGTGACGAGATTTACTGAATATGCTGTGATACAACCTAAATTTCTATTCTAGTGACGAGATTTACTGAATAGGCTGTGATGCAACCTAAATTTCTATTCTAGTGATGAGATTTACTGAATAGGCTGTGATGCAACCTAAATTTCTATTCTAGTGATGAGATTTACTGAATATGCTGTGATGAAACCTAAATTTATATTCTAGTGACGAGATTTACTGAATATGCTGTGATACAACCTAAATTTCTATTCTAGTGACGAGATTTACTGAATAGGCTGTGATGCAACCTAAATTTCTATTCTAGTGATGAGATTTACTGAATAGGCTGTGATGCAACCTAAATTTCTATTCTAGTGATGAGATTTACTGAATAGGCTGTGATGCAACCTAAATTTATATTCTAGTGATGAGATTTACTGAATATGCTGTGATGAAACCTAAATTTATATTCTAGTGACGAGATTTACTGAATAGGCTGTGATACAACCTAAATTTCTATTCTAGTGACGATATTTACTGAATAGGCTGTGATGCAACCTAAATTTCTATTCTAGTGATGAGATTTACTGAATAGGCTGTGAAAGTACTTGTTAAAATAAAACATCCAGAATCAACATGCATCAGTGTATCATTAAATAAACTGTTTCCAGCGCAAAAAAAAGATTAACAAAAAATATTCAAGGATTAATTCGGCTTTAGTCATCATTTTTACCCACTCAGGTTTTATAGGAAGTTTTCTCAACAAGTCTTTTAAGAAGTTTATTTCAGCCATGTTATCATGTACTTCATTTTTCAACGAAAGATAAAGAACTGCTAAATCATCATCGGTACATGCTTGCGTTTGCATGGCTTTATCCAGCAATGGTTTGCTTCATCCGCATTGTTTCCTGATGATGACCATCCTAATTAAGTAACAAAATATAAAAACATGAATCAAAACTGAACTTGATAGAAATTACTTTTCCAACACAGATTACAAAATTGAAAATAATAGTAGAAGTTTAAGTCCAGGTGGTATTAACGTGTTTGCGTCTAATGATTCCTATAAACTATCATCCGTTAAGAATATCTCCTTTTGCAACACCTAAGACAATAGATTTATTATTGTATCAGAAACACTATTTCTAGATAAAAGCCTTTACTGGATTAGCTGGAAAACAAAATAATAATCATAAAGAAAAATTGTACTTTTGTTATAGATGTTTACATGGATGAAGGAAAGTTGAAAGAACATCGGAAAAAATCCATACATAATCAGAAAACAAATATACCTAAACAAGAAAAACAAAATATAAAAATATTTTCAGCTTAAAAGGAAAGCTCTTGCACCATTTACAATTTTGTATGATTTTAAAGTGGTGCAGATCCATAATGATCATATTGATTCCCATGCAGCAACAGTACATCTAAAAATGCATGATCCAGTGGATGTGGCATATAAGATAACATGTATATGTGCAGGTTAATATATATTAATAGGTGTAAAGCTGCTAAATGAGTTGATGTAGCAGTCTGTTTGATGAAGCAAATAAAATCTACGCAAAGCTCTCTAGACAAGATTCGTTGCTAATGATGCCAGAGCAGTTACAAGAATATAATTTAGCGACTCAGTGTCATATTTGTGAAGAGCGTTTTAGTGAACAATTGCCTAAAGCCTTAGACTATTGTTATATTACAGGGAATTATGCTGATGCAGTTCCCATTTTATGCAGGGAAAAATTTCATATAGTCAAGTTCGTTCCTGGTGTAGCGCATAATTTTCGCGGTCATGATGGACATTTTCTTATTAATGCACTTGGACATCCTGACGTAAAGTTATGTCACGATAGAAAGATTAATACAATTTCGAATAATGTTGAAAAAATTGTCAGTCTCAGTCGGTTCACGTACATTTATGGACAGCATGCAATTCATGGCTAGTTCGTTAGATGTGCTTGCAAAGAATTGTAGCTAGTTTACTTCACTGACTGAGTATTTAGGTGATGAGGCTGATTTAATGAAAAAGAAAGGTATTTTACCGTATGAGTACCTCGATTGTATAAATCGACTTGATGAAACATCTCTGCCTCATAAGGATATTTTTTATTCACAACTGAACTGTGAAAATAACTCAAACGAAAAATATTGACACGCACTTAACGTCTGGGATAAATTTATCTGTAAACCTCATTGGATATTTGCTTGATCCAGGACGTTCTTTTACTCGGCGATATTTTCAATTTTCGGAAAATCAGTACAAAAAATTAAAAGTTAGATCCATTTGCCATAAATACGCTTTTGCAAACAATAAATATATTAAAGATTTTTATCACAATAAACTTTCGAGTTATATTTTTGCCTCAAGAAGAACCCACTTTACAACTGGGTAATGTCTCTGTTAATGCCTTATGCATGTAATCGTTGGGTAAGCTTAGCTAATTTCACCAAGGACATTAACACCTTGACAAAAGATTTATCAAAATCAGATCATACTTATTTCTTAGAAGTTGATGTAGATTATCCTGAAGAACTACCTGATTTACATAATGACTATCCGTTTCTACCTTAAAAGATAGCAATTCTAGACTCAATGTTGTCAAAAGAATAATTAACTAATCGGATTGGAAAACATTGTGTTGAAGAAAAGCTAGTAATTAGTTTGCTAAAAAAACGTAACTATATATGTCATTACAGAAATCTCAAACATGCTCTTGACTATGGATTGAAGTTGATCAAACTGCTGGTACATTGCGTGTAAAACAGTCTCGATGGACGACAGAATATCTTAAGTTTAGCAAAAACATGAGAACAAAAGCAATGACGGATTTTTAATGGATTTATTCAAGCTCTTGAATAATTCCGTGTTTGGTACAACAATGGAGAATATCAGTAATAGAGTCGACATTGAATTGTTCATAACCAGAATTGTTGTTGCAAATTAAAGCCAGCTTGGTTCTAAATAAACCCATATTTGTTGTTGTCACTGTGTTGGAGACATCTAAGTGGTTGATGTATGATTTTCAATATAATTTCAAGCACAAAATATGACCTGATGCGAAAGTGTTATTTACAGACACTGACTCATTGGTTAACTGGTTTAGTACTCATTTAGTACTACTTTTGTTTTACTACTGCTGTTTTACTATTCTAGTGACGAGATATACTGAATATGTTGTGATGCAACCTGCTTTTCTGTTCTAGTGATTAGATATACTGAATATGCTGTAATAAAACCTACTTTTCTATTCTAGTGATTAGATACACTGAATATGCTGTAATAAAACCTACTTTTCTGTTCTAGTGATTAGATATACTGAATATGCTGTAATAAAACCTACTTTTCTGTTCTAGTGATTAGATACACTGAATATGCTGTGATACAACCTATTTTTATCTAGTCTAGTGATTAGATATACTGAATATGGTGTGATACAATCTACTTTTCGCTATTCTAGTGATTAGATACACTGAATATGCTGTAATAAAACCTACTTTTCTGTTCTAGTGATTAGATATACTGAATATGCTGTAATAAAACCTACTTTTCTGTTCTAGTGATTAGATACACTGAATATGCTGTAATAAAACCTACTTTTCTATTCTAGTGATTAGATACACTGAATATGCTGTAATAAAACCTACTTTTCTATTCTAGTGATTAGATACACTGAATATGCTGTAATAAAACCTACTTTTCTATTCTAGTGATTAGATACACTGAATATGCTGTAATAAAACCTACTTTTCTATTCTAGTGATTAGATATGCTGAATATGCTGTGATACAACCTACTTTTCTATTTTAGTATTGAGATGTACTAAATGGGATATAGTGACACAAACATATTTGGTAAACGTTTCAACCTTTAGACAATATTATAAAAAATACCCTAATACACAAATGCTAGAGTTTATACAATTAAAAAAAATCTATCTCGCATGTCGTTGTGTATTATTATTATTATTATTATTATTATTATTATTATTATTATTATTATTATTATTATTATTATTATTATTGTTGTTGTTATTATTATTATTATTATTATTATTATTATTATTATTATTATTATTATTATTATTATTATTAGAAACGAACAACAGTTGGATTAAGAAGGACAGCCTATTGGTGCCAGAAGATATGGTCTCACCGGGAATATTCCATTCTTTACGAGCTGTATATGCTTATCGTCATCTTTATTATCCCAGTCGTTGTCATGGTCGTCACGTACTCACTCATTTCCATAGAGATATGGAATGTCGTCACCAAGCGCGCGGACATGCGCTCGGGAATGTAAGTTTGACATTAGTGTAGATCTTACTTGATAAACGGGCTTGTTTTTTCCCTATCTTACAATTAAATAATTTATTTTATTTCTAACAAATCAATGCTACTTGGCTAGTTACTTTAATTGAATCATTTTGTTGGGATTATCACTTTATAACTAACATGTTGTAAATGTGAGCCATAAACAAATCAACTGCCCACCTATTGTACCCAGTAACACAAAAGATTATTATCTGAAGAAACTACTGACCGATACGAAAAGGTCTATGATTTGCCAAAGTTGAAATTTATGCAGCTTTATGGGCGCTGAAATGTATGCAGTTTTCATGAGAGTTGAAAGGTATACAGATTACATAATTGAAGGTCCATTGGCGCGCGCACACACACACAAACAGACACACAAACACACGCACACACACACACACACCGCTCGGTGGCTTATTAGTTAGAGCGTCTGTCTATGATGCCGGAGGTCGCAGGTTCGAACCCAGACCGAGTTAAACCAAAGACGTATACAAATGGTACTAGCAGCTGCTTCTAGCTCAACATTAAGAGGTTAGTGTGTTCAGACCGGTTGGCCCGCTGTCAGGATAATTTGACTGGGTGGGATATGTTACATGTCTGCGGCATGATGCCCCAGTGCTAGACATCACTATAAGCTGTCAAACTGCAGACATCGTAGCGATATGACTGGAAAAATTGTTATCTGTTAAAAATTCAACACGTACACACACGCGCACACGCACTGAGAGAGAGAGAGACATAAACACAGAAATCAAATTAGAGAAGAATATCAAATAAATTCATACACACAACATCCACTATCTGCGAGTCACGTGATTATCTCCATTTGTGTTTACTCCATTTAGACCGCTAATATATCTCATTTGTCTACACCAATTAACCTAACTGCAGAACGATAGAAGCCACACTTATATTGTCATCGCTAAATAGCTCTATCATCTGTTTCATGACTAGTAGACATTGTTTAGTATGTAAAGGAACTATAAAACAATGATACCGTCTTCTAAATTATATAATTTATTCACGAATTAGAGTTTAGTCTGAGCCTATTTCGAATTTTTCTAGTGTAATTGGTACAAATGATGGCAGCCATATGCAAATCCGCGATTGCTCACAGACTTCATTGTCCGTTGAAGTGCATACCAGCATCAACAGCCGCAAGTGTCTTCAAAGTAAAGTTTTCACTCACAAAGAAGATGATAGAACCAAACGACAGGTAGATGCATTTTGTTATTAAATATTTTTTTATTGAATTGTTGTTTATGGTATGGGCTTTTTGGAACGCATATTTGATTTCTTGTTAGGCAGACAAGGCAGCACTGTCGCAGTATAATTCAGGAGAGAAAGCGTTTAAAATATGAAAATCTATTTTTCTTGTTTATTTTTTTGTTTATTTGTTTGCTTGCTTGCTTCTAATTGACATTAGTTAATAGCTTGCATGTTCCTTTACATCACCTGACCTGGTGAATGATGCATTCCTTTCAATTGTTTTGCATTATGATATTTACATGTGTTAGCTTACTTAAACAACACACACGCTAATGCACATACAGACACATACACAAAAGATCCAATCACACACAAACCTCAAGATTGTAGTAAAGTGCCTATTAATTTTGTGTTGTTTTGTTGTTTTTAAATTAGAATTGTTTTCTAACCTTAAAAAAGCAAATAAATATCGTGTTTCTTAAACTCATCTATTCTTTTAATCACTTTTGCTATATGTACTTCCCAGCGATTTATATGAACAATACAATATTTATAAGTGAAATTTGAGAATTTTGAAGGAAAGGTGGTCTCTTTATAGCACATTTTGCAAGCATGATTATGAAGTTTATAACGCTGTTATTTCCTTATTTACATCCTTTTGTGTAATTCTAAGCTTTGGGTCGTAATTTTGTATGTATTCTGTTTTTGTTTATAAAGTTTTTTATTTTATCGAAAAAATGGAAAAAATGAAAAAGAAAACAAGCTCTACTTAAATTTTGTTGCTATTTAAAGATGTAAAAGTAATTAATGGTTCTCGTCTAAGGCTCGGAAGATGTACTGAGTTATATCGAGATGGGGCGATGTGAAAAGTTTATCTAATTTAAATTCTAAGTAAATTTTAATGTTATATTACCCTTACCCAACACTCACGTGAAACCAAAATCTCCAGTCATGTTTGTAGCAGAATACTCGTAGTCTATTCTTTGTTTGGGTGCCGCAGTATATAACATCAATCTGAATAAATACGAACCGAAAGCTTGATTGATGTTTGCCGCCTGAAATGTTTCTTTTAATAATCTGCATTGTCTTTTTTTCAACTCTGTTTTTGTTTCAAATGGTCAAGCCAGATTCCTGGGATCATTAAATGTTTTAACTATCTGTTGTTGCTACCATGTGGTCTTAAAGTAAATAAAATAAAGAATCGAAACCAACAAGCGAAGTAAAATTAACAAATAATTTATTTCTCCAAGCTTCAAAATCAAAATTTAAGAGGAAGTAAATCTCAGATAATCCTTAATGTTCTGTTATAGTCCCTAACGTTTATAATGTACGGAATGAATCGCAATATTGACTTAATACTAATTGCACTTGACCTAATTAAACAAAAATGATTTCCTAAGAAAATACTTCGATCTCGAACTCAACCTGCATAAAAAACCTTTACAATAATCAAGTTCCTTAAGACTCTACACTCAGTCACTGACAAAGTTCAAGCTTACAACATAAATTAAAGTCATAACACTGTACATATCGTGCTAGATTGTTGCAATAAACCAATATAGTCATGTTTTCTAAATAAATAGGCGTGTTCATATATTAAATCAGTTATCTACAAATATTTGGCGGTTGACTATATTTAGTGCAACAGTTAATTGGTGCAATCAAAGCATTGAACATTTATCCACTGCTAAACGGAGGGAATAATTATCTTCAGACTGAATAAACAATAAAATGGTGTCCTAAAAGACAGCTCGGGCGGGCGGGAGGGAGGGTATGAGCTGATAGGAGAGAGACAGTGAGTGTTAGAATACGTTAATCTCGTTCACCCAAGGTCTATCAAAGTCATGAGAAAATCTTATTAAACAGAGCCAACGTATTCCAAATTAAAGCCTAAGAGAACTTCAAATTTATGTTTGGAAGCTCGACCTTGGCTTACAATCAAACCATATTAAATGTCTTTCAAACAAGTAAATGAACGAACATGATATGCGCAATGTCCACCACAAACATGAGAGATCCAGTGTTGAAATAAAATTCTGATCATTTAAACAGTTATTTAGAAAAATGTTCCTAACGTTCTTTAATGGAATGGTTCAGACTACATGATTCTGCAGTACTTTGCCTGCAGAAACATACGGACAAAATCTACTTCTTTTTTAACACCTACTCTAAAACTTTAAACAAGTCATCATGAGGAGTTTGCTTTGTTGTCAATAATTGTTGTGAAGCATTATATAATGCTTCATAGCTTCATTCCCTTAAACACAAACTTGCAAGCCATTGCTGTAACTGTCACTCTGCATCGAGTTATTTACTTTTGTTCCATTAATGTACCACCAAACCCCAACTACTACCAAACGAATTAGACAGCTTTGTTTAAAAAAAACTGTCCGCCCCAGTTGCACTGTTCGGACATTTAAATGCCCATAACATTTTATTAGGATCAAAATACCAAATCACCGACATATTTGCACCAAGGAACAGGTACATACATGTGTATCGATCAGACTATTTGCTTTCCTTCGCCGCTTTTGGACTATGGTTGAAAGGTCGCTGATGACCTTCAAAACAGTGACCATTGTCCAATCTTTATTAAGATGACTAACTTTACAATCAATAAAGCGATTCCACAATGGAGTTTAAAGAAGGCTGACAGCTAAGTGTGGAACACTTCGTAAAATTAGGCTTAACATGGATATCGCTTTAAACGTTAATAACCCCATTCAACATTTTGCTTCTATTTTAATCGCGATAACAGAAGAATCCATTCCCAAGTCATCCTCGAACTCTAAAAGAACCCGAAAACATTGGTTCACTAAAGAATGTAAAAAAGCCATTAGAAAAAGTTGAGAAGCACTGAGACAATTTAATAATCGTCCAAAATCCTAAAATTTAGGTAAGTATCGTATTTTCTGGGCTTTAAACTTTGTAAAGAACTTATGGGACACAATCCGCAAAATAGTTTCCCTAAAATGTCCTCATCCTCTAATTATTCAGATTAAAATATAAACAACAAAACACTGCTGATATTCACATCCAATAACTCAGAAAGTTATTATCAACCTTTTACACTATTGGAGCTTTTAGAAGCTTTCAACAAGGTCAATGATACATTCGCTGGGCCTGACAAAATACATTACCAGAATCACCAATTATAGCTCTTGTGGAAATTGTCAATGATTTATGGATTACTGATATAATGTAAACAATTTAGAAAGAAGCAACAGTAATATCCATTCCCAAATCAGGAAGAGATACATCAGATCCTACTAAATATTGACCCATTGCTCTGATGAGATATGTGTGTAAAACAATGGAATGAATCATCAATTCTCGGCTTGTTTGGTACTCGGGAACTAACAATTTAATATCTACCTTTTCAAATTGGCTTCCAATAAGGTGGTAACATCAATAATCACCTGGTTGGAATAGAACATTTACTCGCGATGCTTTTAAAAAGAAGGAACATTTAATATCATTTTTCCTTGATTTAGGAAAACCCTATGATACAACATAGGAATAAGAAACATTGAATAGACTGCACGATATGGGTCTAACAGGCGTATCGACATATCGAAGCTTCTCTCAGACAGCGAATCCAATGTACGAGAGGCTTCCACACTGTCTGATATGTATGTACGAACAAGACATGGATGTGCCCCAATCCAGCATTTTATCTTTAACGCTTTTCAACATCAAAATTAATAGCATTGCCAAGAATTTGGCTCCTGTGTGGATTGCTTCCTATTTTGGTGATTTCATAATATGTAATCGATCAAAGTAAATGCATGCAACTACAAATGAATATAAACCAGACTCAAAATTGAGCCAATGCTAGCGAGTTAAATTCTCAACACAAAAAACAACAGTATACATGCATTTCTGTCAGTTACTAAGGCATCACGACGAGCCTAATCTCACGCTTGACTAACGCCCATACCATTTGTTTAGGAAAAACAGTTTTTGTTAGTATTATCTTCGACAGAAAACTGACCTTTATTCCACACATAAAAAACTAAAGATCTAAATATGTGCAATCTCTACATTCACTTAAAGTAGAAGCGCACACTGACTGCGGTGCTGATAGAAGAGTCATCATCATTTTTAAAGACTACGGTTCAATTATTTATCGTTTAGCCAGAAGGTAATGCTTGAAAATGCTTGACCCAATTCACCATCAAGGAATAAGACTCGTTCGGGGAGCATTTAGGACATGGTCAGGTAAAAGCCTTTTTTTATGAAGCAAACGATCCACCTTCATCACCTC